CTCTCTCTCTCTCTCTCTCTCTCTCTCTCTCTCTCTCTCTCTCTCTCACACACACATAGACTTGCAGGAGAAAATGGTGTTGAAATATGTCGGGAGAAAGAACTAAGGAGAGGAGTGGGTAAAAAAGAAAGTGAGGGTATCCAGAGAAAGAGAGAAGCTGCGTGGTGCGAGTGTGAATTCAGCCTCCAGCTGGGCAGCTAAACGGACTTGGTCAGTCATTAGCATGCAAAGGTCTAGTCCGGACATTTAAGGTTATTCATTCCCCAGAATAAACCTCCCCACACTGAGAATGCCCAGCTCCTTCCTGAATCACTCTTAATGCCTTTTTACTACTTGTGGTTATTTTCCACAACACACCCCTCATCACCACTCCAGAACCCTGCCTTTCTTGGTGCTGCAGATGTTAATAAGCTTGATGACAGGAGCCCCAACCTCGCAATGTAATTTCACTACCCAAGGTGCATCTGTTCTGGTTGTACTCACAGGAACCCCACTGTGGTGGAACTGTTTCACAAAGTCACACAAGTCAGACAGTGGCTCGGCTGCTGCCTCGATATCAGGCAGTGAGGTATCAAAAGGCAGCCCGGCACAGCATGCCGCACGACTTTAAGGCAACGAGTACAAATTGGACTCGGGTTGTTTATTTCACTCCATGCACTGGAAAATATCTGCGTGCATCGCCTGCCTTGTACATACAGCCGTTTCCACCCGATGGCAAAGATGGAGATAAGGATGTAGCGGCGCGTCACAAGCGATGCATTATGTGAACAGATGTTTCTCCATTGGCAGCATCTCTTCGCCCACGCCACATCACCAGACCATTGTGCTGCAAGTTATCCACAATTCATATCGGCTCATCAGATAACTGTCAAAGTCACAGCGAAATATCTCTGGGGATTTTCATACAGTGTGATCAAAATGAAACATCACTCATGAGCAAGAGAAGTAAGAGCACTGCACAACTGTTAAAAAGGACTATATATTGAACTGAAACTGCAGCATGCCCTCTGAAGATTTCCTTTTCCTCTCCTTCTAAATTGTATTCATTTCAAATACACCTCCAGTCACAAAGTAAATAGATTGTGAGTTTCCGCGCTGCTTTACTTCTGTTATGCTCGAAGCAAAATGTGATGTTTTCTGCTTCTGTTCTTCCCTCAAGACTTTGGCTGACCCACTTTCCCTCATCCCGTGCACCTTGAGGGTGTTAACGGCATAAGGAATATTTACAGTGGAGTGTTTAGAATCAATTTGATATAATAAAGTAATGAGTTTGAAACAATTAGTGGGGTATCACATTAAGCAATAATGTGTGGTAGTATACATGGCAAAAATGTCATTGGAGCTTTCAGAAGCTCACAGAGTGGAGTGGGTGTAGACACCTGGTGGGGACTTTCAGTCTGACAGTTATTGTCTTTATGTTACATTGTAATGCTTGTTACATACCGTTATGTAAGAAAGTCTGTTCAGGGTGGTTGTAACGTATTCACGGTAGTTACGTTGTTACATTATTTTAACCTAACCAAGTTGTTTTGTTTCCTAAACCTAACCAATCTTTTCACAACGTGGCATTGTGTGTTTCTGCAAGAGCGATACGAGGCTGATACCAAACGTATTCATGCAACGTATCTCTGGCTCAGAGACATTCAACGTATCCGTGGTTTGCCAACATTTTGTGTCTGATGTCTGGGTTGAGTGACCTCTCCTTAAATATTCATGCAGAAATACTATAAAGCAATCCATGGTTTTGTCTGACAATTACTTTACAGGAGACAGGTTTTTCAAAGACCAAACTACCTTGATGGATACAAGGGTCTTTTGCTGTTTGTCAATTCTGGCTTGATACTGTTTACCTTGCTCAGCAACATTTGAGCAATAGGCCTGTGTATTGACTGCGAACCTTCTCTTGTTCTGCAGGTGATTTTGATGCTGACCAAACTCTTTGACTTCAACCTCAACAGTGTGACAGAGAGTTCATTATGGAGGTAAGCTTCTCACACTACATGACATTTCTAGATAGGCCTAGAGCGGTTAAGGAGTTTGACATGACAAATTGGCCAGATGGGACTGTTTTATATATTTCTTGTATTCCTGTGGTTTGAACTGCTCCCAGCACTGCTCCCAGGAATAACGAATACTAATGTTCACAAGGATCTCATATTGTGAATTAAAGAAACATCCAAAGCTTGAGAAAGAGGTCAAAAAGAGATTTTTCAAATGGCAAGTTTGAGTAGCCGAATGTCTTCAATCAGTTTAATGTCTGTGGGCACCAGAAATCCCTCACATGAAAGCCACTAATCAACATGGCTGGAACTTGCAAAGTTATCCAGTAAATTACCTTGACCAGCCTTGAACTTAGCATAGCCTTGCTTAGAGCTTCATGTCTGACTCAATCCTGATGTAACTTTAGTAGATGCCTGTTACAGAGTAATGGAGCTGCATTAATGTCTTGAAGAAATACAATTGTCGTAACAGAGAATATCTGCACAAGTAATAATCATGATTCATTTTCATTATTATTATTTTTTTTATTGCTTATGAACTGTCATACCACAGACACGAACAGTTCTCTCTTGGAAAATCAGTAGGCGGAGCAAGGTTGAATTAAGATTAACTACAAGAGAAGGACTGTTCAGTCTCATGGTGTTTAATCTCACGACATGTTTTAAACTAGAACAATTCTCAAACTTGCTGAAAAGACATTAAGATGTATTCATGACAGCCATCTCTGCAAATTGCTTGTAATAACTGACTGTAATGTATTGTACCAATCAGACAAATAGCTACTTTGTGAGAGATGTTTAGAAAAGCTGATTTAATTGTCATAATAGTTGGCACATTCAGATTTTTCAAATCAACCTTAAATACCAGTAAAAAAATACTTGAGATTTACTGTTTGCTGTTTGCTGTTTGCTGTTACCTTTCTAACAGAATGTTTATGTTATGTGGACCTCTGCGCAAGATCACTGAAAATGTGTCTGAAAGCAGAAAAACCTCAAGTGGGAAAAAAACTAACAACAATACAACAAGAGTATGCAGAAATTTAAAACATGAAAAGTTAAGGAAGTTACAATGTGACCAACAAAACCAAACAAAAATCAAATACAAACTATATTCCGTGTGTTCGGTGTTTCAAGTTTGATTCAAACTCGCAGATGTTGTTTTATATTCCAGTGGTGATCCCAAACTTTGAAAACAGATATGTTTGAAGACAAATATGTCAAACGTAATTATGAGAGAGACACGTATGTAAAAAAAATGCACACGACATCTAGATGATTTCCATTTGATGTAATGGTGCAGCCCTAAAAACATGGCATCTTGGATTTGGATGTTTTACTTGGTATAAGCATCATGAAGCTTCAACGAAGTGCTGAAACAAGCTCATGCTGCACATCTGATACTAACTGTCAGTGAGTGTCAGTGTGGAAATGTGTATTTCTTTCTGTGTATGAACTGAGAGCAAAGCGAGGGGTCATATGAAGGTAAAATCAGTGAATTCAGTTCATATTATATTCATGTGATGTCTAAGATTGACAACATTCTGTATGAATACCTAATTCAGTGCATGGACAACTGACAGTGAGGTCAAGGCATTCAGTTACCTCTCATTACTTTGTAAAGTCTCAGTTCCATTAACTTTTTACTGCTGTCGATTAAGTACTCCTAAGGATATGGAAGGTGAAACAGCTGTTTCAGGTATAGATATACCTTTCAGCTTAAATCTGTAAATTAAAGGTTCTTTAAAGGTTTCTTTGCAAGTCTGAACATTTAATTCCTTTTTCCAATGTTCATTTTAAGCTGTAAGGCAATAGATTTTGACACATTTTAGACATTTTGTATTAGTACTTTGAGAAAAAACTGACACAGCTAAATAGAGATGAAAAACGTTGATTTTATTAATCTGTATGCAGCAAAATAAACATTAGGTCACACAAAAACTCGCTAAAACGCTATAATACTAATCAAAAAAATCAATGTGTTGGGATTCATGCTAAAATCTATACACCCTTAACAGGGTTTATAGTAATTCATATGTAGAAGAGTCATTATACCTGTATCAATTGATTTTTTTGGTTGCATGGGTCTACAACATGGACACCTAAAGGTGACAGAGGTGAACCAACCAATGGCACATTTACACATGAAAAAGGCACAGAGAAACATTGGCATTCATTCGTAGCAGTGCTTGTGTCCACATGACGAATAAAATACTAATATTCACTCTTCTTTAGCTCTGTTATTGTCTCTACCAACTACTGAGGAACGTTTCTAGCTATTTTGCCATCTCTGTAGAGCATGCCATGTTGTCCTGCCATATTGCACAGCTCTGTCTCACTCTTACATGAAAGGCAGAATTATGAGCGTTGCTGTGCGGAACATAGGTCTTATGTTCCCAGGGCCCTATGTTCCCTGGGTCCCATGTTCCCTGGGTCCCATGTTCCCAGGGCCCTATGTTCCCATGGTCCTATGTTCCCAGGGTCCCATGTTCCCAGGGTCCGATGTTACCAGGTTCATATGTCCCCAGGGCCTTAAATTCCCAGGGTCCTGTGTTTCCACAGTTCTAGGTTCCCAGGATTATATGTTCCCAAGGTCATATTGGCCAGGTCTCCCTTGAAAAAGAGATTTTTAATCTCAATGGGACTCACCTGGTTAAATAAAGGTTTAAATAAAAAAATAAAAAATGTTGCCAGGGTCCTATGTTTCCAAGGTTCTACATTCCCATGGTTCTATGTTCCCAGGGACCTATGTTTCTAAGGTGCTATGTTCCCAGGGTTCTATTTTCCCAGGATTCTATGTCCCCAAGGTCTTATGTTTCCAGGGTTCTATTTTCCCAGGGCCTAATGCTCAACTCCATACTATGTTCCCTTTGACGCGTTCCCACAATATCCCATGTCATATAGAGCCGGGGAACATCTATTCCAGGCTCCCATTATGTGCTGTATAGAGCTGGGAAACCAATCGGTTCTCATTCCCAGGTTGTCAAAAATATACTCAAACCCAAACCAATTTACAGTAACCACGTTTTGTTGCTTAAACCTAAGGTGACACCAAGGGTTCCTTACCAAGCATCCATATGTGACGAGTTGGGAATGAGAGAACGGGTTGGGGCAACATAGGACCCTTTGTCATGTTCCCATTATGTGCCATTTACATCTGGGGAACATACGAATGACCCCGTTTCGCCCTGCTGCCAATATATATGCTGAGCTATGACACGCAGCTCAAACACAGAAGAGTAGGATCAATATTTTAATCTCGCCCTCAGTAACAAATGTGCAATTTAACAAAGATTGATTTTCTACAAAAAAATGGCTAACTGCAAGCTTGTCAGAGAGGATGCTTTTTGCTACCCGTGTGTGTTATTCAGAAGGGATTGTACCTGGCCGTGAACATGCTTTCACAATCTCAGCAACATGAAAGCAGCAGGACAACGCGGCAAAAAGCAACGCAACCGATAATTGCAAGTAAGATAGCCAATTGGTCTGCAAGAAATCCAGCACTCCTCAAGGGGAGTTTAAAGCTAAACTAGATATATCTGCCTGTTGTGGCCCCAAATAGCAGCATGAGAACTTGGAGTTGAGACGCTACTTCTTCGCGTTGAAAGAAGTCAGCTGAGGTTGTTCGGGCATCTAATCAGAATGCCTCCTGGGCGCCTCCCACTGGAGGTTTTCCGGGCACGCCCAACTGGTAGGCCTGAGAATGCCTCGGGATCCCCCAGAATGAGTTGGAAAATGTTGAGGGGGAGAGGGAAGTCTGGGTCAGCCTGCTTGTCCTGTTTCCACCGCGACCCGATCCCGGATAAGCGGAAGACAATGGATGGATGGATGGTTGGTTTTCTATTAGTCATCTTCGGCTTCAGTGCAGAACAGATCAAATAAAAAATGTATGCTGAGGGATGTGTCCTAAGGAGTAGGTCTACTGTGTGCTCACTTCCTGCAATTTTGTCAGATTATGTTCTCATTGTTGTCAAACCACATTATAGGGTTCGCTTGAAAACTGTTTGTTTTGGTCAACAGCAGAGTACGATTATTGTGTTCACAACTGCCCAAACAAACCGCATCAGGGGTTGAACTTCATCTGAGTTTAATTAAAACGTAGTTTAATGGCTTGTGTAAGCGTCCTATGAACTGACCCAGCTGATCCCAATTTACACTGCCAATTTTGAGAAACAAACTTGACTAAATAACTATGGCTATATATTTGCTTTCCTTCGTCTTTAACCGACTGTTAGCTTACTAGGCCAATGCAAAACAGTTGGAAATAACAAGACCCAGCCCTCGCCCAAAGCTTTATGCAACAAAACAGTCCAAACCTGACAGGCTCTTACAAAGTTTTAGGTTGGGTAGCAGTAGGTCAACTAAGTGGTTAAGTTACATACAAAGAATGAAAATACATTGAAATGCACACATAGATTTAAATTTGCTAGCTTGATGAGAAAACATGACTCTACGCAAAAGAAAAAGTAGAAACTAGAAAACATCTTGGATCACACCAGCCACTATGTCAATTCGGGCCAGGAGTGTGTGGTGGGGGGGGCCCTTCCCAATTTACACCCCCCTACTTCCGGCGCCCTTGGTCGGACCACACCCACCTTTAAATTCCGCCTTCATTTTGATCTTGTCTACACACGAGTAAAGTTTCATCATGCCAACCCGGGCTCCCATTGGGGAGATGAAAACAATACAATTAGTGCTACTGTCACAGCTGGTAATAAATTACGTTCCTGGTGAGTTCTGAAATCTATAGTTGTTGCATAAACACACATCCTGATATTTTGGGATGTTCTTCTCTTCATCTTCATCCTTACACTTTTGAACTACACTCTTACAGTATCTCGTGTAGCTTGAAGAGTTAGCCTGCTGCTCAGCAGAAATACTCCCTGAGCTTGCTGAGGGTTTTGTTAATTCATCCTGTCTCAAGCAGTGCTGTTGGTGTTTTCTGCACTCCATAGAGTGACCTCATGTTAACTATCCCGAGATGCATGCAGCTCTCGTCCCCCAAACCATGATAAATCAAAGCCTCACGGAAAATGTAAAAGCTGTGTAGTAGCTGCCTATCAATGTATAGTAGACCCTGGAAATTATAATTGAAACTGTATCTAGTAAGCCTGTTAATAAGTGGCCATAGACATCATTTTTATCTATCTCAGAGAAAGTAGAAAGGGGTTTTGATCATCCTCCTAGCATACCCAGAATCCATTTTCCTCAGTGATTCATATCACTGTAATAGGACTGATATCCTTATTGTGTCCTCGTACAATGTTTCAGTTTCTCCCCCCCTTCAACATGTGGACAGTGAACCGCATTTGGCTCACCTACGGCCCCTGTGAAGCCAACATCCGCACAACAGATGAAATCACAGCAGTGCGGTCACTCAGAGCAGCTTTTTACACCCACACGTAACCACTGAATAGCCTTTCAAAAGCCAGGAGCAAGGCAGACAAGTTTCACTCAGAATCACCGTCCTTGAGAAACTGTCATTTTTTTTCCATTAAATGTAATTACCATCATCCCGGGGGGTTTCATCTGCTGGGGTTGGGCTGTTTTATTGGTTCATGTTGAAAGTTGCTGTGACACTAAAAATAAGTCATTAGCCCCTAAATCAAGTGATTCTGTGACAGCTGGGCTTCTGAGGAGCTGATCGATAACCCGATGACGTCATAGTGGACTGATCCAGCAGAGTACTCCTGGTGGCAATGTATGGAACTAGTCCGTAATAAATAGAACACCAGGTTATGAGGGGTGAAACAGGATAATGCATCATTTTCTTTCCAACCTCTTTGGCAAAACATGTATTTTTACGTAATTCTACTTCAATTATGCAAATTATGAGATTATTTTATTCCAATGTGATATGTTACAGAAGATGACTGAAATAAACTGGGCTAAATCTCAAAGGTAAATGAGACAAAATTGCTAGTGTGGCATGAATATTTCCGTATTTCCATGGCAGTGAACTTCAAGCGTGAAGCTCTCAGTAAACTCCTTCAGAACCCTTCAAACAAGGACTTTAGTGTGGATTTAACAGCTACTCAGAGAGAAGGTGGAGCGAAAAAAACATGAGTCAATGTGAGTGATTGCTTCATTTGAAGTCACACAAGGCATTCTATGGTGTCTTTGCTGCATTTTTAAGATTTGCATGCTATGGCATTGTTGAGCTGATTGAGCCTCAGTCCGCTCAAAACAAATTTTTGCATTTGCGTTTTGACCAACATTTGAATATTTCATTCAAAGCTGGTCTTGGTTTATAGTCATAGTTTACTTATGTATTGGGATAGAAGAAGCATGTGGCAAAGAGAGAAATGTGACAGAGTATTCTCAGTCTAATCTGTAGCCTCTCTTTTGAAAAAAATCCATGCACCATTAAATTATTGGACAATCAGCTCCAGGCTACAAACCTGTGCATCAAACTGGTCAGTTTTATTCTGTCAGGTTACATATTGTAAACCATCGAGAATGGTGACGTGCACAAGGTTTTGTCTTTCCAGCATCTTTGTCTCGTCAACCTCGCTCTGTTACCTTGTGTTTCTTCCCCCTATCAGCTTTCAGCCTGCCCACCTGTGTCTTGTTGTCTGATTAGTTTATTGTGCATTTATAGTCCTGTCTTTTGTCTGTTGGTGGTCGGTTCATCTGCTAGTTTCCTGTTTATACCCCTCGTATAAAAAAAGCCACTGCTACTGCTGAGGACATCACCTGATTCTGTTTTGTTTGTCATTTTGCCCATTTCTGGTTTTTGGATTTCAGTTACTCACTTTTGGACTCACCTGTCATGTAGGTTTTGTTTTAAACGTTTCTTCATGAAACTCACAGGTAATTATCCTCTTTCTGCTCCTTGGGTCCATCCTCTGTCCGTCCTTCAGACCATTACGTATTGTCGTTTGCCTACACTCAGGGCACTTCACCTTACAGCCCTTTTGTGCTGCATCAGGAAGGTTATCTAACCTATGTCAAATCAAAGGATGTGCATCATAAAATCAGATTTCCATACCGGATCAGTTGAGGTCTGGTTTACCAACCAGCTGGAATGGCAATCCCTGATGGGAACAGCCAAAGAACAGCTGCAACTGATGTTTTATGTCATGAATTATTCCGGAATTATTAAGTTTCAAAGTTTAAAAACTCTATTTTAGTATAATTGCTGTGATTGCATTGGTGTTAGTAAATCAAATAATTGAAGTTGTATTGAATCACACTGGTAATGGACGTCTGGAGGAAAGGTTTCAGGGATGTGTTGTTTTTGTGCATTACGAACACAGCAGCTGAAGTCACCACACAGTGACCGTAATGATGTGGCTGCTGTTCTCCTTCTGGGATCCATGTTGCTGCGTTGAGCACAAAAGGGACTTAACTACGACAGTGCGCTTTCCCCTCTCCCACTGAATTCTCAAGGGTGACTTTTAATTGCAACAAGTAATTCATCAAGTGTTCATCCAACCTTTCTGATTAAATTTCAGGTCAACTGACTACGGAGCAACGTACCAGAAGCTGAATGACAAAGTAGGATCGAAGACAATACTCAGTTATTTGTACGTGAGTCCCAACAACAAGAGAAAGGTATTGTTCTACTTTCATTTCCTTTGAATTTGTTAGATTAATTAATTGTGTGCGTCCCTCTGTCACTTTCTGCGATGTCAGTGAGATGCATTGAACACAAACATTGTAAATAAGAACTGGATGTGGTTCATGGATCAGCTGATTCCCTTCTATTAGCAAATTATCGTACAGGAACCTATTGAAGCTCCTCCTCATGCTGTGTCTGACTTAATGTTATTATGTTGTCATTCAGGCCGGCTCTGTTCTGTACCCTCTGGGGACCTTTGATGCTGCTCGTCCTGCCTTAAGGCTTTTTACATAAGCACATGCTTGTGGAACAGAGCTATAATGCCAAATATGTTTTACTGCAAAGAGAAATGAAAGTTTTCTTTGACTAAAGTGGTCCTGACTCAATTACAATGTGTGTTGAGGTAATAAATCAAGTGAGAAGCAGGGTCATTATCTTACAGACTTCTGTACAATCAGACATCCGAAAGAATGCCAGTTTAAGTCACTTCAGCATTGGCTTCACTTTTCCGACCCGGAGGTTGCTGCCTGATTGAACAGTACTTCATTTATTAATCCACCTAGACAGTTAGCTGGGAGCAAAAAGAAATACTCTCCAATTTCTAAAATGAATAGCTTGGCTATAGTCCCTCTTTTTCTTCTGGAACTACATCAATTATAAGCAAGACAAAATGGGGAACAGACAGAGATGGGTTCATATTTGCACCCATTCCTTTTCCTGGGTTTGGGTCAATTGATGGTTAGAACATCCGCTCGGTTCCCTCAATAGTTTCACCTTTCTCTGCTTACACCGCTCTAATCCGAAGCGGTCATTTTCTCAGAGTTAATTATTGTCAAATATTAAAGATGAAACGCAGCGCCACCTCAGATCAGAATCCCGGCTGCCCCAGTTAGGTGGTCTGTCAGTAGGACATCACTGGGACATCCCTGCGGTCGGTTAAAGGTGAGGAGCCAGCCGTAAGTGAGTGAAGCCTGAACATAGAGGCTACACAGGGAGGCTGGAATGTCCTTTTCTTGTTATCAGGGGAGGATTTAGGATTTAGGAATGGAGCAGACGACGATACGCATAGCAATAAGGAGGAGAAACATAAGAATAGAAACACATCAGTGAAGTGATAGAGAAGTGATAGATACTGAGAGTTACCTCATAAAAGAGTATATGCTAATAGAGGCCAAGTCAATGTAAGGGGGATTAAAAAGTAATTAAAAAGTACAAACAGTGCAAGAATAATTATTAATATGGATATTATAAAATACATATTGGAACGGATTAATATGCATATTGTGCATAAGGCTAACATAGCCAGTTACAGTCCAAGCAAAAGTTTTTTAAAAAGTGCAAAAACAATGAATACTGTTGAAAATCTAAAATACAAAAGTAAATTTCTGTGAGAAATATACACACAAATATGCATTTTGCAATAAAAGAGAAATTGCCTTACCAAACCTTTTGTACTTAAGCCATCTACATAGGCTTATTACTTGTACAGATACAGATTATTATATATATACAGAGAATTAAGCAAAATATGGGTTCCCAGGGCAAGATGCACTGTGTCAGGCTACGCCGTAGTCCTGTATCTGTTCTCCACATTCCCTCCCCAGTTTATATGCCAGCTTCTGTATCTTGATGACTTGTATCTGTGTGACACATCCAGCTTGTATTTATTTATTTATTCTCCATTTTCTGCCAATTTCCTTTCATATTAACATTTGATTCAGTTATATTCACATATTTCCCTCTGGTAGAAGTCCTCTGGTATACTGACACTACTTCTGTGGACTGGGACACATTATTTCCAAGCCCCAATACTCTGAAAATGGTCCCATTGGACCAAAAGCCTCTTTGTGCAACAAACAGGAGGACATGGTTAGTTGTTATGAAGAACATCATCTGACCTTTACAACTTTTTTTCCCTACTGGCCAAGGCCTGACCCGCCCTCTGCCTCTTAATACTCGTTGCCTTTGTTGGTTGGGTTGGTGAGGTTTAGGCACGAGGCATGATTAGTCAGGGTTAGGTTGAGAATATCAAGGTAAACCAATCAGATGGAGTATAGTGCATCTCATGCCTTGGCTGTCATTCTATTCTTTAAATAGGGAGTGTTTCTTTTTGAAGCAATTGTCCTTCGCAGCAATGGCCGTTTGTTTTTGGAACGGGGTTTCCCACTTCTAATGAGCCGTCAGAACAACGGCATGGCACCTAATCACCAACGCTGAGACCAGTGAGTGAGTTGGTGTCCCAAGTGAAGGAGTTTAAGTATCTTCGAGTCTTGGTCGTGAAAGAGGGTAAATAAAGCATGAAGTTAACATGTGGATGAGTGGTGGTATCAGCAGTGATGCGTTCCAAACATGGTCACAAGTTTTGGTGTCGGAAAGAATGAGTTCACTGTAACAAGCGACCTTAATGATGGGTTGGCCCAGCAACTTCCATTGCCACCAAGTTTGCCTGCAAAATTTAGATTGGATCTCACATGACCTGAGAAGAATCGAGAGTGATTGTACAAGCTGCATATTTAGTTAGGAAATCAGAATGTTATTAACTGAAATGCTAAGTCAGAGGTAAGGTACTTATGCAGACTAAAAGAAATTAGAGGCAGCGCATTAATAAATTATGAGTGTTTCAAAAAAAATGTCTGCGCTCAGGGCCATTTGGATGCATTTACTGGTTTCATTACAGCCCTGGGCCATTAGGTTTTTTGGGCATTTATGTTTTTCTTGTCTTTTATCCATGTCCATTTGGGGTTTATATATGGGTCCAAACATCTTTGTTATTTTAATCCGTCATCATTTCCTTGTTAATCAGTGTGCCAAATCAACAAAAAGTAATAATTAAACTTGATTAAGACACCACATCAATATTTAAATCTCTAATATATCTCTAATTTAAGTGAACAGTCAGACAAGCAAATTCCAATTATCTATGCCTTACACATGTTCACACACCCTCTCTGGGTCTCATTTCTCCCTCACATGCAGAGTATCCCCATGTTGCAAAAGCTTGACATTTGTAAAAATATAAACAAGACTAAAAGTCTACAGCTACACCAGCGGCCCCATGAGGCTATCATAATTACATGCAAGTCAAAAAAATGGTGGATGAATGAAAAATAAAACAATAACTTTGCTATCGTCAGGTTCTTACCACAAGTCTGATTAATAATGTGATGGTGGCGTTTAGGGACCTGAATTATTAAAGACAAGCTCAACATTATCTATTTTTTTATCCGTACTTTTGAATGTGTTTGTGTAATTTATTATCACAATGCACAATCTCATCTGCTCTCTGAGTAGGGTTGAGTTCCTCCAACTAACGTTACTCACACACACACACACACACACACACACAAAGGGAAGTCAGCGGGCAGAGAGGCCATGGTGGAGACAGTGAAGTGAACCAGGTGAAGAGATCAATTACTACGACACTAACTACGCTCTCTACTGTTACAATAACATACGATAAATCATCAGTGAGTAAAAACACAATGGTTTTGCAATACAGCTGTTTATGAAACATGAACATGTAAACAAAAGTGAAACCTTTTTCAATTTGCTCTGTCCACAGTCTCTCATTCACCACGGCTGTGTTTACAGTAGCACAGCACGCTGACTCGTCTGTCTGTCGTCTTACTGTTTAGCCTAGCCCTCCTCCCTCTACCATTTATAGTATATGTATAGTGACGCATGTTGTAAACAATGCTGTGGCTGCTCTAGCAGCTCTCTAACATTTCATTATATTATAATATGAATAAATTAGAATCCTGGTCCTTTAAAAAAAAAAAAAGGAATTATTTAGTCATGAAAAAGAACCAATAAGGGTATCGATAAAGAACTGAACCGATAAGAGAATTATCGATAAAATCCTATTTATCCCCATCCCTAGTGGCTTGAGAAAGGCTGTTACCTCAATTAGAAGTGTTTGTCCTCAATCAGAAGTATTTGTCCTCTGAACGGTGTTCATTTTAGGACATCTCAGACTCACAAGTAAGTCGATCTCTAAACGCTTCACTCCACTAGAGATGGAAGACAATCTCCTTGTTTTTTGTTGTTAAAACTTTTAGTTTTAAATGGATGAGAGACTGGTTGTATTGTTGTTTTTTTATACCCAAATGAGCTTTATTCTATTATAGTGTTAGTTGTAAAACTGAAAATGTTCCCATACACTCAGAACATTCCTCTGGTGCTCTCAGTGACATCTCGAACATCTCTTCCAGTTCATTGTCTCTGGAGCAGTTGATGAAGTATTTTAAGGTTTGTCTTAGACCAGAGGAATCACTTATATGAATTTTGTAAATAGGCTTGGTTCCCATTTAATAATGCAGAAGAAGAAATGCCTGAAAGTAGGGGAGGGGCGGTGTATCGGTTCCATCACCGTCACCGGTGTCCTCTCTAGATGAGCCCAGCTCATGGTCCATGTGTTTTTCGCAAAGTACTGGTCCAACAGCGTCTCCGCTGCATATTTTCAAACTATCGTGTGGGTTAAGATGTGAAAGGTTTAGTTCCTTCAGAGATGTAATCTCTTTAAAATGTAATGTAATTCCCAGTTTGGCTGTGGCGAAAACACAAATAATAAAACAAGAGTAAATGTGTGAAAAAAAAAAACATTCCAAATGTTCTTTATTGCTGAGATCCAGGTTGCTCAGCAATACAGCATCACAGTTTGAAACAACAACATGGCTGCGTTAGGCTACCAATGTTAAATGAAATAAATATTTGTTCATATTGCCAACCCCTTCCTGAAAGCCAAACAAACAAGAAAAGCCCATTGTTAAATGTCAATGCAAAGCATTTCTTCACACAACCAACTCAGCAACCACATGAATGCTTGCAGCGCTTAAACATGGTAATCTTTCCTAATCTCTTGATTCACCCCATCAATGCTTCATTAACAACTATTACATTAGCATGCTGATGCTTGGCATGTAATGTTTGCCATATTTGCGTACTAGTAATCTACCACATTCTATAAACAATGGCACAGTAACCCATGAATGTT